AAAACCTGATGATGGGTATCCTTCCATGCGCTAGAAACACTAGTGATATAGAGAAGATGAAAAATACTACAGAATATTCAGTCTAATTTCAATATCAATGAAAGTGTCATTCACATTCATATAAGGAGATGATAAGTGCGTACTAGTGTCTTGCGTGTGCAGATACAGTGATACCCTGGGAAAAAAACCCAGTGAGCACGTACAATATTAGACTAGGGATATTATTTATACTGGGGGATAGAATGTTTTTTGCTGACCCATATACATTTATCTTCACGGCAAATTATGTCGTACATACAAGCCATCAGACTATCTGTATTTTTCATTAACTAGCAAGACAGCTTGGAACCAATTAGACATAATTTGAAACTCTTTTTACCAGTATATACTATTGATTTGTAAAACAGTTTGGACAATTTCCAATTACACATTTGAAGCCAGCTAAAATCTATTTATAAAACGACATAAATCAAAGATGATACAAGTTAATTAGCATCAGCGATGAAAGAGACCACCACGAAAGACTGACTTCAACATGTCACTGGTACTGGTTTTATATCACTGAATGGACTTGGTATGTAACCGATCACATTCATTTTTAACAATAATCTTAGGGAGTTGTAAGTGTAATTTTCCAATTTGCAGTGGTGCGTCCAATCCCAAGTAATTACAGTATGACAGCATAAATTGATTGCTAGCCCACTGGGATGAAATCTGACAAGCATACGTGTTTGGGGGGGGAGGGGGTACTCCTGGTATTACACTTCAAAGGAAGTTTTTAATTCAAGACGTTTATCAGCACTGATAAACCAATAAAGGAAGGCAAAGCTGTTCAACAAATATTAACACTAGTTATAACTGTTAATAATAAAGTAACATAATTATTATATAAATTAAAATTCAAGAAAGTATAATTAAAATGAGTATTTACATTTTTTTTTACAAATTTAGTGACACAAATGATTAGTGTAAAATACATTGTTTTAGCTGGAATTAATTTTTGCTGAAAAAAACTTTTTGGGTGTTTTGTATGGAATTTATTTTCACTGATTTTTGACAAGTTGAATGTAAAATATAGGAAAAAAGGTATATTCACTGGATTTTATTTTCACTGAATCATTCCTTCAGCATAAATTTATTCCAAGCGAAAATAAAGTATTTTATAGTAGGGTGAAAGCAAGCCATGATTTTGTGGTAATACACAGGCTATGTTTTCTGGAATGAATCATATGTGCACCTTACGAAAAATTTTATAGCAAGAATGTCTCACTAATTTTCACCACTTTACTGAGTTCTAGAATTCATACACCAAGCATATCAGTACAATAACAGAATGTCATTTAATTCATTAATACCAGTAGTAAGGATTATAAACGTATTCAACAATGTGATGGTCAATAAAACACTCTAGTTTGCTAAAAAGCTAGAACGAATATCTCCCATGCAACACCACAAAATTACAGCAACTCACTGAAATACACTGATAAGTTATAAATTAATTAATTAATTAATAATTTCACTTTTGAAATTAATAATCTTAATTTTTACTTCACTGAAACAATTATTATTACCTTAACACTTATTATAACTGTCAATATAAGTGACATAATAATTATTATTATAAATTAATAATTTTCATTTGTGATTAGAAGAAATCAATAGATTAAATACTGATACTGGATAAAATAAAACATTCCCTAGAGATGGTAGAGAAATTTAAAAAAATACAGTAGTTCAGAATTCTATTTTCAGTACAGTACATAAAAACGGTAAACATGCCCTTTTAAAATTTATGGTCTCGCGGCCGTACACGTGGCAATATGTTCTACTCGTATATAAAATGAATAATATATATATGATAGAATATCCAGCACTAACACTACTTCAATCACCTATTTCACACATGTATGGTCTATTAATTGACATCAGCAAACACTCATACCTATGATACTAACAAACCATTCTGGTTCGCTGTACAGATTGTAGTGATATAGTTCATATTTAAATACACATTGTAAGCATGACCCAAATAAAAACTCTTCAAACATTGTAAACAATTCATGATCAAAGACGCTACCGCGTGCACACATCATTAAAAAAGATTTTACTCGGCAACTTAAAAGTAACCCAGCATTGCTCAGTGAATGAATATTGTGTTTGACTGACAAAAAAACTCATTTAAACTTATCTGCATCTCAATGTCAAATAAAAAAATTTAAATTAGGAAAATAATCAAGTTTCAGAGAAGGATATATTTTATGTACTTTTTTAGCATGAGTGACTCTACTCAAAACATTCTGGAGAAGACCTAATGAGACCAGTCATTGGTTAACGCCCTCTTCATGGACACACTGTCTTCTTACTTACATGTACTGGTAGTCTACCCTATTTATTAGACACCCCCCCCCCCCATTCCATTGTACAAAAATACTTTTCAGTTTTTCAAAGTAAGAGACAGACAATTGAGCACTGGGGCACTAATGGGAGGCAATCTTTTCAAGGACACTAAAGCAGCTACTGATCTTCAATGCCTACTTCTTTTATAGAGTTATCGCTTCCGTAGCCATAAAATACACCATGACTAGGACAACTTGGTTTAATAGTGAAGTTGAACTAATTTATTATAACGACAGTGCTGATAATCATTTTGGAATGCATTTAGTTTTATTGTTATATTAATTTAATACACTTTTTATCATCTCTTAGGTTTGTTTTATCTTTTTCAATCATAAAAATCATAAAAACAATTTGCTGGTTCGAATAAAAATATTTGAATGAATACTAAAAATAAGCCATTTTAAGACACCATCTTGAAATACTTTTAAAGATAACGCAATGGTGAGTGTGTTTTATTATTATTACAACAAAATATAAGCTTATGTTTACACAACGCCCCAGTATAACTATCCCACTGTTTACAGAGGAAATAAATAAATATAATCGCTCAATAAAGATAGTCAAAATAATTAAAATTAGCATGTAAAAGTTTAGGATACAAGGCTCAGATCTGATGCCATTAAGTAACAGTTCTTAAATGTACTCACCTGCAAGGAATTGTAACCCTCCTGCCACTCTTCCTGCTTTCCGCGTTATTAAATCTCTAACACAGCACGAAAGCAGTGCCGTCAGGGAGACCAGGATCGCAAGACCACACCCTATGCCGATAATGATGGTGCAAGCTTTCCATGAAAGAGTCGGTATGTCCGAAAATGTTGTGTAACGTCCGCATTCCAGCACCATGACGCCATCCCGGAGATAGTTACAGCGTCTGAATATTCCCAGGTACACCTGTGTGGTTTTGGTAACTTCCATTCAGCCAGTAGGGCAGATAGTAGCCCGCACAGGACAGTGTTGTACCAATAAGAGAAACAAGGGTCCACACAATGCCCCATTTGGTAAGACTGGCCGTCATTGTTTGTATGATAACAGATAGAGAAAAAAAGCTTCAGTAGTTCAGCTAATTGGAAACAGGTATCATTGGTAGCCGCTTTCCACTGAAGCGATTAAATTTATTATATCAGCCAGATGTAAAAACCCTGGTTGTATCCGCACCTGTAATAACAAATATAGTATGTGTGAAAATTGAATGATATTTAAGTATATACTGGTAACAAGATATCTGGTAGAAGTCAGCATTTGGTACCAGCACCATGTCACTTCTAAATTAAGACTTTATTTATATATTCCCAGCTGCAAAGAGTTTTATGTATAGCTAGCTCTTCATGGGGAAAAATGTGCATCTCATAAACAAAGTCAAAGTTTGATGGAGAGAGTGGTGATGTGAGCTGTCACTGAAGCAAAATAGTGGGTGTGACCCTCCAGTTAGCAATTGATGCGATTCAATGTACCTTTCGTTGTTTTTTCTTCACTTGTTCACTGTGCCACAGTCCCTTGACATCACTGCTGAGGGACTGTGACTGTGTATATACCCACTAAAAATATATATTTATATAGTTTTAGTGTGAGTGATTATGATGAATCAAAATGTTTTCATTCCATAGCTAGGCTTGGTATGCTGCGGAAAAAAAAATGAGATCAACTTGATTTCCCATCAGAGAAAGAAAATGTCCTTTTAAAAACCATTGTATATTTTCATTACACTGGGTGACATCTGATCAGGTTACAAATGTCAACATACTTCAAAAAACAAACACAAATTCAGAATAATAAAAACACTGGCCCTGGTTGCCCTGGTTGACAGAGTATGCTCTTTCATTGATACTTGTCATTGAGTCAACTACTTGATGTGAAAGTAACTGAGGCACAAATACCAAAGAATAGCTTTATAACATCAACTTTGACTCTTTGATACAATATTTCAGTTTTGGGTAATTCTCTTTTGTATTTGGGACTTCTAGGGTTAGTAGAAAACTGCAATTTTTTTTTTTCTAGGTTTTTATTTTCACGTTTTGCTTTACAAGAAACAATGTTTTTTTTTATAAATATTTATACCCCCCCCCCCCGGTATATATTTTTAATTTTTGTGATCACCCTTGAACAGATTTCAAAGACATTTCTGAACTAAAATGTACATGGTTAGAATTATTTTAATCAAACAATTCATTAATTAGTGCTTAGTTGATTAATTTAAATTTATTGAAAAGTATTGTTAACAAATATGTTTTCAATATGATTTTGAAATAATTGACTGGAAAAAGAGTCTTAAACTAGTTTTATTTGTGAAGTAATTTTTTTAGAAATATAACCGCTCGTGCAACAGTAAACCATGGACCTAAGCAAGGTTTGTAGAACCACGAGTAAATGGAGACGGCTAAACAAACATAAAACGAGTGGAAAACGAGAATAGCACCCGTGGAACGGAATGAATCATTTTAATTGACTTATATCAGGTGGATCAGTGAAGGCGAAATTGAGACGTAAGCTAGGCACATATTTACAATAGATCGCACAGTGGGTCACATTCATCCGGTTTCAAACACGTCCATATAATATATGGCGTTACGGACAACCATGCAAACTCAATTCTGTAATACATTTGCGCAAGATCAGCTAGAAAATACAAATTGAAAGGAAAATGTGAACATGTACGGAAAAATAACCTAGAGCAACAACAAAAACTCAAACTTGCTAATTTAATTGTCCTTTTCATGAAGGTAAAATATTTCTATTTTTTTTTAGCTCCATATCCTTTCTTTTCACACAACCAGAATTGATTTAAGCATTGAAAATCACAGATATGCGTGTTCAGGTCGATTCTCAAGATCATAGCGGTCTAAGTCCACGGGCCAAGTCCAAAATCAACAGTTCGGAACTGAGTAAACATTAAACACTAAGACAGAAAAAGTGAGGTGCGTTCGGCATTGTTTCGGAACCAGTCAGTCGTCGCCGCCGCCTTTACGTGTTTCTTGAGAGCAGTGTATCGCACATCGATTTATAGTAGCCCTAGTCCACTTGCTCGGTGAGATCGGCAATGTATATATTGCAACTATAAAATATGATCACGTACAATATTCGCGGCTGAATAGAATAACATTGTGCATACCTTTATTATAAGTACAGGACTGTAACTCTAACAGGGTGACGAGAGGACACTGCACTGACAGCCAAACGCCTGAACTACAACCTTTGTAATTTCAGGTGGTTTATAGACACTAACCTAAGGAGCATCTAGCGCATTGCATCATGGGAATATATAATTGAATTATACATATGTAAGCCATTTTCCGCACAGGAATACACTTTTCTAATAATCGTCTGCATTATTTGTCATGATTTTAGGCTAACTAAATTATTTAGGATGAATCGTTAATTATAGATAGCATAATAGATGAAATATTTCGTTTTTCGACCCATCACATAGGAACAGGTATCGCAATAAATAGACAACACACTGGCAGACGTCAAGAGAATCTACCTGTTCACATTAATGTTACATTCCAATTTGATCTAGGGCCGTCACAGCTTTCACTAAATCGTATAATAACGCGTATTTGTTGACAAGATGGCGGGCACTATTTAAATATTTTTTTTTAGAATCAACATCAGAATCGCCGACTTTTGAAAAAAATGGATGATACCGTTCAAGTTGAAACAAGCGACATAGTACATCTAAATGTCGGCGGTCATATCTACACGACGTCCCGCTCTACGCTAACTAAATATGACGATTCGATGCTTGGATCCATGTTCAGCGACAGAATGCCGACAAAAATGGACGACAGGGGAAATTACGTAATTGACGGCGATGGGAAGCTTTTCCGGTACATTCTAAATTTTCTGCGCCGATCGAAACTGACTGTACCTGACGGCTTTAAAGAGCTTGATATGCTTGCGGATGAGGCGGATTTTTACCAGATATCTGAGCTGATCGACGCGATTGCTGAGTTAAAAATGGCGAGGGACGAAGAATTACGCAAAGCATCCCTCGTACAGGCGTACGAATTCCTAGAAGTTGAGTTCGAGTGTGCCAACGGCCAGTATATCGTGTTCGCGGCTGCCTCGGTATTGGAAAAAATACCGTCTCTGGTGTCCCACTACAAAGATCTTGGAAACTGGGGCGGTAAAAAACGAGTTGAAGAGTACGGCCTTTCCCTACCCCGCGGGACCCGTACCGCCAAACCAATCGACAGAATCAAGCTTTTCCGGGAAATCACGGACCAAGGGTTCGAGATGAGATGCGCGTCTTCCAGTGGAGGAGACGAAAGGTCAACGGATCGCTGGACATTTTGTAGATGTGTTCCTAAATGAAAGTGCTATGCATTTTAAACAGGCTACCTTTTACTACTTCGTATGATCTCAACAAGGCTTGAGTTTCTTTTATTCTACTGAATTACACATTGGTATTTTATTAACTTCGTCCAGTTTAGCTCTACTCTCGGCGCGACAAAGGTATTCCGTTCATTTTTATGAATATTTATAAATTTTACAATTTAAACTGAAACAAAAGGTCTATTAACTGATGGAATGGCATTGAAACTTTTTCAAATGTTGTCAATGTGCTCGTTGATTGACTGGTTGGCTTCTGCCAATGTCATTTAAAAATATTTATAAAGATGAGAGAAATACATTTGTTACTCGGAGAGTATTTAGAAAAGGTGCACTGAGTTATATATATATATTACTACGGGTATGGGCTTCAGACTGCGAGATTTTGTTTTCATGCTTTTCAATCGCGACAGTACTAATTTAAATGAATTTCAAACTAAGATACATGTATATGTAATCCAAAATATATCTTTGTGGAGCAAAACTGACTTAAACGGGTCACCATGTGATCCCATTATTTGTGGGCTAATAAATAGCAGAGGGAGGGGGTCACTTTTGCACCTTGAATTTTGTATTTTATTTTACTTTAGTGTTCATGTTCTGAATGATGACATTTTACATGTATGCAGTTGTCCAGGTAACCATATCATAATATATTGCGTAATGGAATACTTTCACTTTGAACTGCCCTTACAGTTGTAATTGATACTTATTTGTTTTTCTTGAATTATATTGATCCGTCGTCACACTTTTTAAATACATGTATTTCACATTCGTTTGTCCCCATTGTTCGGCATTGTACTAGTACTAGTAATTTAAATCTGAAACGAAGAAATGCCATACGACCAGAGACTCAACCAATACGAACAATATTGCTTTTAGATTTTTATCAAAAGTTTTGTCAATTTTTATCAACATTTCATATAGGAAGGAGACTATACAAACTTATTTTGTAGATGGTTCCTGAAGTTGACAATGGCGCACAAAGGGTTAATATGTTCTACTTGCTATGGAGCTCTGACATGTGTAGGTCCCAGCACTTTCTAAATGTTTAAACAAAATGTTGGGCTCCGAGCCTTGAGTACACATACCAACATCTCAAAAGATCTTCTAGCATTATATTTATTTTTGTCTGTAAGGACAAGAATTTCTTCGCGAAAACCTGCTGCTCGGGCGATTGAATACGATATATATAAATATATACTAACTTGTTGATTGATATTTATTTGTAAGTTTATAATTTGCGTTTCCGTCCGTCCGAGTCATTTTCCATCTCAGAGGCCATATGTGCAAATTAAAAATGCCCCAAAACTGAACAAAGTATGCAAGATAGATTACTCAACAAGCACACCAGCCTCCTATGATGGCACGTCGGGAAAGATTTGCGTATTTCACGAAACACTTACGTCTAAGGTCAACCTTGTTTGAGTGTGTTCACGCCGCCCTCAACGGTATTGTTGGGATGCCAGTTAGGTCATGGTATTGCAGCCAGGACAAGTTGAACACAATATACTCGCTTATTTCAGATATTGTTTTATGCCAGTTCTATATCAATTATTTTCCATGATCATACAATGAAAAAATGAACGTTTGGTACAAATGTTCTTTATGCCTATCCTTTCTCTGGATACATATCACTTAACATGTAAACTTGAAGAAAACACGAATAGTCAAATACACATATGTGTATTGATTGGTGACGTCAATGATTTTTCTGGTGGTATTTGTGCTTGTGCAATATATATAAATGTTGTCTTCAATGTAGCTGTGTGATATACTATAATAAATTAGGTTTATTCCATTGCCTAGATGCTAGTGCTAGTAGCTGGGTGTTGTACTGTAAAGGGTTTAATTATTCACTGGGTTTTAATTTGGCTTATTTCGCTGACTGAAAAATGCGCTAAATTAAAACCCAGTGAATATGTAAAATTTAGCATAGAACACATTGTCTAAATGATAAAACCATGAATTTAAAACCCACTGAATATGTCTGAAATGGTAAATCAGTGAAATTTAAACCCAGTGAAAATTAGTCATTTTACAGTATGTTGAGTACTGAATTATTGGATTATCGCACTCTAAACACGTGTCAGTCACACAATACTGTATATATTATGTGAATGAGATACTAAATTACGACAATCAAGTTTTTTTTTTAATATTGGCATTTTTTTTATTTTTATTAAGTGCTGGGAACATATATATGTACGGTACGTGTTCTAGTAGCTGGGTGTTGTATGTTGAGTACTGAATTATTGGATTATCGCACTCTAAACACGTGTCAGTCACACAATACTGTATATATTATGTGAATGAGATACTAAATCACGACAATCAAGTGGTTTTTTTTTTAATATTGGCATATTTTTATTTTTATTAAGTGCTGGGAACATATATATGTACGGTACGTGTTCCTGTTAATAACAATTATGGGCAATGTTTTCGCAACAGATCATGAGCCTGTGTTGATCAGGGAGCGAAATTTGTGATCACACCGTGACATTTGCATGCTGGTTGGCAAAAATGTAAACATCTCAGTGCGACGGCCAAGAAGACTTCTTATATGTGGGTTATACCTCGTAACAATACCCAGGTCAATGTGTACGTATGTTCTGAGAAATGCGAAAACGTTACGGTATAAACTAGAAAATACTAACGAGAATTCATCTTTGCCTTTATACAAAGAAACATTTGATCAAACTAGTGGTCTTCCATATATTTAGGACTACGGGTTGCAGCCCTCAGTATGATAGCATATAATATAATATATTACAGGTAAACATGTGCATATTACTGCCGTTGATGGCGTACTGTATCTGAACGCATACGAGCCCTGAGCTACAGTTGTCTGAGGTCCAGGACTGTCGTGGAGCTGACCTATTTAGTATACAGATTAATTTATATGCAATTCGAAATTCAAACCCGCGCTGCGCGACGACCACCGAACCGCTCAGTAAATCGAGGCTCTAATCATGATTGTTTTGTTTTACAAAATACTTAAAGTGATGAAAATTGCACGGAATAAACAATAACACCATTTGCAATCTGTTCATTGTCGCCTGTTACTACGGGGTCTTGATCTAAAATAAGAAGTAAATTTATTGTTATAATTATTTGAATACGTCGACGTCGACACATTCGTATGAACTCTCACCATTACAATTTAATTACCCAGAAAGTTATTACATGTACATTAAACTATAACGACATTGTGATCGACATTGACATTGATACCACAAACTATCACAGAGACGGCTTTAGCACGATAACGAATAACGACATCGGTACCATGAAACGAAATATTTGCATTACATAGACCAAGTGGGTTTCCATGTTTCAAGTTATCCGCCCTAATACGACCCAGAGCCGGTTACTGATATTTTTAGTACAAA